AGACTTCTACATTTAGCCAAGATGGAGTAACAGGGACCACATTTACTCTCCCACCTGAAACAAATAAAACACTGGAGAAAAGATATAAAACAATGGTTTCAAGACATCAGGCAAAAAAGGACAATGATTTTTGGAGACAGGAGACAAACAAGATGAGCCCTATGATTACTGTAACTTAGTGCCTTGAAAGAAATTTCAGGCCATGCCGCAGGGAGTGGAAATCCAGGTTAAGTTTGGCAGATTTTTTGAGTTGAAGACACCTTGCAGAGAGACCAGGAGATCAAGGTAGCTAGAGTTCATAGGATAGTGTTCACAGGAGAGAGCTGCATGGAGGAAGAACACTGGAGATCTACAGAGCCCCCTTGCATAAGTGTATGATCAATCCTTACATGTCGGAGAACTACCCAAAGCCAGGGGAAGGCCCACCTGAAAGGATTAGAGAAGAGAATATCAAATACCCACACATGGCAGTAATAATGTATGTTTCCACCAGCCAGACTGGAAAGCCTATAATTTATAGGGCACTGGGTAGAGTACTCAGAAGGGTCTTGCATCATTAGTTGGGAGTAATTAGCCCTAGATGAAATGCTGATCTGATCCTGCCTAATAAATGTTAAAAGGAAGACAAAATAATCAAGCTGAGTTCAAGAAACTTAACTGCATCCCAGAGCAGAGCTCAAGAAATATTCATAGGAATATAAAAATATCCAACACCTAACAACGTAAAATTAACAAATGTCTGCCATCCAATCAAACATTACTATCCATGGAAGGAAACAGGAAAATAGGACTCACAGTGAAAAGAAAATCATTGAATAAAAACTGACTCAAAAAGGTGCAGATGTTAAGATTAGCAGGCAAGGACATCAAAACAAGTACAATAAGTGTATTCCATATGTCCAAATGCTAAAGAAAAAAATGACCATGTTAAGTAGAAACATGGAAGATATAAAAACGACCAGTTACTGAATTTCTAGAAATGAAAAATATAATGACCAAAACGAAAAATATACTGAACTGGATCAATGGCAATCAACAGACATTCCGGAAGAAAAGTTTAGAGAACTTAAGACACAACAATAGAAAAACTTTTCAAATCAAACAAGACAGAAAAGAAACCCAAAAAACAAAACAAAAAGAACATTGGTGAGCTGTGAGACAAATTCAAGCTGCAAATTTACGTATAATTGAAATTTCTGAAGGACAGGAGAGAGAAGAGGGGACAGAAAAAATACTTGAAGGAAATAATGACTGAAAATTTTACAAATTTAATGAAAACTATACACCCACAGATTCAAGAAGCTCAACAAATTGCAAGCACAAAAAAACAAGCACACCAAGGAGTATTAAAATCCAGTTGTTTAAAAACAATAATAAAAAGAAAAATCTAAAAGCAACCAGAGGAAAAAAAAGACATATGATATGGAGAATAAAGATAATAATGACAGCAGATTTTTTATCAGAAACAATGCAAGCAACAAGATAGTAGGATGGAAAGTATTATACCAAAAGAAGGGGGCTGGGGTGGGGCAGAAAGCTGTTGACCTAGAACTCTATACCAAGTGAAAATATCCTTTAAAAATGAGGATAAAATAAAGATTTTTTTCAGAACGGGCTGAAAAAAATTACCAACACTATAAGAAATGTTAAAAGAAGTCCTTTAGTTGGGAGGAAAAGTATACCAGATGGAAATATGGATCTACACAAAGGAATGTAGAATGCCAGAAATGATAACAGTGTGAGTAAAGATTTAAGTTTCTTTATTATTATTTAAATTTCTTTAAAGGAGATAAAATTGAATAAAACGTACTCAGTCCTAAAGAAGACAGAAAAATAAGAAAAAGAAAAAAGATGAGATGGCCAAATAGAAAATGCACAGCAAGGTAATAGATTTAAAGCTAATCATATCAATAATTGCATTAAATGTAAATGGTCTAAACCAAGCGTCAGGAAACTTTTTCTATAAAGGACGAGTTAGTAAATATTTTTGGTTTTGTGGGACATACAGTCTCTGTCACAACCATTCAGCTCTACCATTGTAACATAAAAACAACCATAGACAATATGCAAATGAATGGTCATGGCTGAATCTAGTCTGTGAGCCACAGTTTGCTAAGCCCTGGTCTAAACATCCCCATTAAAATCCCCATCCATATTTTCATGTTGGATAAAAATTCAAGATCCTACTATATGTTGCCTGTGAGAAATGCACCTTAGGCTGTAGGGCAATCTGGCTGCATCTGTCGTCCCATTTATCACCAGGGTTGATTTGACTGATGTGGCTGGCTAGGTGGGGTGTCCCCTTTCTCCCTGACTACCCCCAGGGGTCTCACCTGAAGTTGCATGATCGATGGAAAAAGACAACCTTTCCTGATGGAGAAGGATTATTCCTCGGTGAAGGGTATATGAGGAGCTGCGCTTTCCTGCTAGAACCTCCAAATAAGCTCTTAAGAAAAGCACTTTAAAATAAAGATACAAATAGGTTAAAAGTAAAGGATGGAAAAAGATGTAACAGGCTAACACAAATCAAAAGAAAGCTGAAGTAGCTATATTACTATCAGACAAAGTAGATTTCAGATCAAAGACATCAGAATATTTAAAATATTGCCAGGGATAAAGAAGGTCATTTCAAAATGATAATGGAGTTAGTTCACCAGGAGTACTTAATAACCCTAAATGTTTATTTACCTAATAACAGAGCTTAAAAATACATGAAGCAAAATCTGATAGAACTGCAAAGAGAAATGAATGCACAATTAGAGTCTGAGATGTCAATATCCCTCTTTCATTAATAGAAAAATAGCCAGAAAATCAGTAAGGATGTATACTATGGAAAGGAGTAT